TCAGCTGGTATTGTTTCCTCAGACTGGAGGCCTCTGAGTCCTCATCCAGGATGGGTCTCAGAGAACTGCTGCTCAAAAGCCTGAATGCTTAACCAGGCCAAATGCTTAACCAGGCCAAATGCTTAACCAGGCCAAATGCCTCTAGTTCCTGGTCCTCACCCCTTATATATCTTTCTGCCTTCTACCACCACTCTCTAGGATTAAAGGCTCACTTTCTGGGATTAAAGGCGTGAGTCACCATGCTTGGCTGTATCCTTGAACACATGGATTTCTGCCTAGCTCTGCCTCCCAAGTGCTGGGATTAAAGGCGTGTGCTACCACTGCCTATTCTCTATGTTTAATATTGTGGCTGTTCTGTCTCTGACCACAGATGAGTTTACTAGGGTGCACAATATTTCAGGGAACACAATACCACCACAGTCCCCAAAGGCCCTTATTGGCAATGGTCCTCTGGACACCCATGGGGTTTGAGGGAGTGTTATGGCAATCTGGGCACCTTCTATGGATATACAAAGCACATTCTGACCTGCACAAGGTCATCTCTAAGTTTGACAAGTCCTTCCAACTTGGCCTTAAGGCATGAATATTGGCATGGAGAACATATGGATGAGAGCCAGATAAGCTTGTCTTCCCCTTTTCTCTAAAGAATACCCAGTCCCTCTGGGTGGATTCTATCTCATTCCAGGAAATGGTTGCAGGATTCACAGGAATTACTGACAATCATTTGAAAAAAAAAAAAAAAAAAAAACCCACAAGATCTTAGCAGAGCTCCACACATCCAATATAGATACAGCCCCTTGCAGTCCCCTCCTCCACTCCCAACCCTCATTCCACCCTGGCCTTTTCAGATTCCAATAAAAACAGATGCAGTGTTCTTATCCAGTGCCCTGGTTCCTAAGATGTTACATATGTTATCCCTAACCCTAGTTCCATTCAATTGGGTGAGCTATTGGCCCTCCTCAAGATTCTAGTGGAGTGCAAGACTGAGCCCATTACTATTTTTTTCTGACAGCCAATATGTTATACAGGAAGTTTGTGTGCTGGGCTTTTCTCAAGTCAAAGACTCACTGACCCTCATTACCAGCACTATGCTACTCATACAAGATATCTTAAATCAGAGAACTGAGCCCTGGTACCTATCACATATTAGATCCCACTCCAAATTGCCAGGAATATTGGCCCAAGGAAATGAGGTTATAGATACCATCATATTAACAGCTGTATAGACCTCTTAGAACAAGCCAGGGCTCTTCACTGGCAGTTTCACCTGTCTCCACAGAACCTGCATAAACTTCTCACTGAGCTACCAATTTTCCAGTGCAAGCATTTGTTTCAGTCATGTGCCTCCTGTGCCCCTCTTGTCCCTTTGGGGCTACTTCAACATGCAGGGGTCAACCCCTGTGGCTTATTGCCCAATGCCATTTGGCAAATGGATGTTACACATTATGCTCCTTTTAGCAATCTTAGATATGTACACATAACAGTGGATACATGCTCCTCCTTTGTGTATGCCCTTGCACTTTCTGGGGAAAAGACTGTTAATGCTATTAAAGCCCTTAAATTGGCCATGTTGGTCATAGATAGGGGTGCCTTGGGCAATAAAGACTGACAATGGCCCTGCCTATGCCTCTCAACAGTTTAATAACTTCCTAGGATCCTGGAAGATCTCTCTTACCACTGGCATCCCCTATAATTCTCAGGGAAAGCCATCATGGAAAGAGCCAACAGAACTCTTCAAGAACTGTTGGCCAAGACCGTCTCACCAGAGGCAAAAAGGGATCTCCATTTAGCCCTAACTAAAGTCCTTTTCCATATAAATTTTCTCAGCTTTGATGAGGCGGGACTCAGTCCAGCATATAAACATTGGGTGTTTCTGTCCCGGGGCACACATCTACCCTTAGTAAGATAGAAAGGCCCATCTTCCTCCAATGGCAGACACAAACCCCCGTGCTGACACATGATTGTGTTTTTCCTTAGAGTGCAACTATACCAACATGGGTCCCAACAAGATATGTGTATCTCACCATGGACCAGCTCACCTCCACCAAAGAACTGGCCATGGATGGGTAATGTACATACTCACTACCATTGCCCCTTTTATTTCCCCCAAAGCAGAAGATCTATGGACTCTGGTTCCCTTGCTTCCCATTCTGTTGCCAATGGCAATTAACTCCCCTGCTTTCCCTGTGATATTTACCACCAACTCTTCCCTAGCCTGCCCTTTATAGACCTGGTGCTGACCACCAAAATATTGGAGGGCACCTGGTCTGTGGAAAAAAGCCCTTTTTCCACACCCCCCCTTTTTTTTTTCTTTCTCTTGTCAATGCCTAAGAAATAGAATTAGTAAGAGACATGCCCCTACTGGCCTGCAATTCACGCTTCCATGCAATTTGCCTCACCCCTCAATTACTCCATTCTACTCTGGGAACAAATATCCCATCTCAATATGACCAGGGTCCCGGTGATGTCATTGGAGAAAGTTTTTTTTTTTTTTTAACTAAGGTCTGTGACAACTTTAAAAGGACATTTGATCCCTCCTGGGTGATCACATATGCTTTGATTGGTGGGGTGATACTGTTAATCCTTATTTTCTTTATATGCCTCCTGCAGCACATCCAACAGCAGCAGACACTGACTAAGGCAACTCTTCAGATTTTAATGGCTCTTAGACATCCTGCTCATTGCCCTCCACAGGAGGTTATGCATGCCTGGTTCTCTGAAATTCAAAAGACTACTGCCTAATAACACAGTTCATTTAAAAAAATAATGTATAATTAAGAAATGCAGATTAATAGTCATCTATAATAATCAAACTTATAGTCAGGTATGTTTTCAAGGTAATACACAGATATATTTAAATTGATGGGTGGTCTTCAAACACTTCAAAGACCTACAGAATATGGCATTTAAGATGTTTAGTAACCTAAGGCTTTTCTTGACAGTGAGACATGCCTGCTCCTGGCAGCACCCATCTACTTCAGAGAAGATAATGGGCACCGAAGAAACTGCATATGGAATTTACTTTCTTTGTGGCAAAAGTTAGCCACTGGGTAAGAGACTGTCCTTGCCTTGACTGTTGACAGTATGCTATCCAAATTGGACAAGCAGGACACAAAAGAAGGTGACTATAGAACTTTATCAAGACAAGGCAGGACAGTCCTTCAAAAATCCTGCTTCACAAGAAAGTCTGTCAGATATTCTAGGCCTGTAGGATAAAGATAGATGGCCCAACATTACAGAGGAACTTTGGGTGACTGTCTAGGCAGCCAGCTGTCTCTGTCATTTGTTAATTTTGGAAGCTGTTTGCTCTGCACTTCCTGTTTACTCAGGTAATATTATATCCTTCTCAGGTCTCTGATGGAGTTGAAGACCAGATAGTTATAGTTTTCCTTGTCACCAAATTCAGAAAAGAAACTCAAAAAAGTGGTGTAAAGAGTATAAGGCTGAGAGACATAAAAAATAATTTTGTGTTGATAATACAAGTTAGCATAGAAAGTGAATTAGGTACAACCCTTTGGACTCACCAAGGTAGGATTGATAATAGAGTATTTTCTCTGAATTTGTCAAATTCAAATGGAGTGGACATTGTTAATATATTTCTTGCCTTTATATATTTGTATATAGTTATTGTACTTATTGTATTTAGTTTTACTATGATAGTTAAAATCTTCACTTTTTATTTAGACAAAAAGGGGGGAATGTCGTATGATATTTTGATTGTGTTCTGACAAATAAATCTTGTCTGGAGTTAGCCACTAGTCAAGCTAGCCACTAGTTCACCATAGAGATTAGGAAGACTAAGGATAGATAGTATACAGGAAGTAATAAAATGGGGTGGAGAGCGGCCCTTTCGGTCAGAGGAAAGAGGTAGGAAGCAACTGTGGCTGCTCCCCTGGATCTTTCAGGCTTTTAACTTGATATCTAACTCCTGATTTTTTCATTGATAAGATTAATTAGATTAACACTTCACTTATTTTTCCACAAACTTAGAAGTTTTACCTACTGAGTCACCAAATCCTTTTCCACTTACAAAAAATTGGTGAATTGGGATAATCAAATGTATTTATCTCTTTAAGTTTGTAAAACAGTGCATACCATGGGCTTTTAGTGCTCTCCAAGCTCCCAGGAGAGACTTTCATAACTAGAGATGTTTTGGTAACTGTATGTGTTGGCAAATTGGAAAGCCTATTCCTTATACTTCTATTGTTCTAGAACCACTTCTGGTGCCAAAATCTGTATTAGTCATGGTTCTCTAGAGTAACAGAACTTATAAAGTGAATCTGTGTATATAGAAAAGGAGTTCATTCCAGGCGGTGGTAGCACACGCCTTTAATCCCAGCACTCAGGAGGCAGAGCCAGGTGGATCTCTATGAGTTCGAGGCCAGCCTGGGCTACCAAGGGAGTTCCAGGAAAGGCACAAAGCT